CACCGACTCCTTGTTCAGATCCGAGATCCTATAGCACGCTTGGAATTCCCTTGAATTTGGGGATGAAATTTTATTTTGATTTTGATTTTTTTATTGTTCAGATCCCTTGAATTTGGGGATGAAATTTTATTCCCTTGAATTTTATTTTTGATTTTTGATTGTTCAGATTCGAGATCCATTTTCTGTATACTTTGTTTTGTTTTTTATTTTGATTTTGATTTTTTTATTTTTTATTTTTTATTTTTTGAGGTTGGATATTTTATTATTTTTTTTTTAGACTGACTGTAATCGTTTGTTTCTGAGGGCATAACGGGAAGTTAAGTAAAAAATTAACGGGGTTAACATGGAAACGAGGCGGGGGAGCATGCGCAATCAAAAGTATAATACAAGGGGGTATAACGCAATTTTTAAAATACAGGGAGATAACGCGTAGATTTCGTATAATACAGGGGGATTTGGTGCAATTTACCCGTTGTACCAGCGAGGAAGCACGAGGACGACCTAACTTCCAGCCGGTTGAGGTCTTTTCTGTACCAGCCTCTTTGTCTAGTTTGAGTTTGTGCTTCAGAGCTGTAAACTGAAGGTCTCGGTATTCGTGTATTTACCTTTAGTTTATGTCAAGAAAGTGTGTTGTTTGAGGTGACATGATGTGTGGTTCTCCCAATGGTACTTTTTAGTGTTGGTTTACGGCAAGTTAGCCCCCTAATGTGCAAAGTCTTTTATGTTAGGGCATCCTCATCTATTTCCGTTCATTTAGTCACAATTTACACAGGACAATGCTATATGTACACCCCCTTTTAATAAATTACACAAAGAAAAGTGCTATATGTACACCCCTTTTTTACACACAAGGGGGTGTACATATAGACACCCCCTTTACACACTCTCTCTCATTCACATCGTGTCCACGTTATCTTTCCACTAAACATCTCCCATTTAACCATACACCTATATTGGTTAATTCATTTAAGAGCATCTCCAATGCTATAGCTTTGAAAGACAATGATTTTTAACACATGTCAATCAATGATTGTAATGTTAATCTATGTAGGAATACTGTTAAAAGAGTAGAAATTTGAATGAAATTAGTATCTCCAATGCATCAATTTGATAAGAAGTATTTGTATAGGTGGACCAATTAAAATAATCATTAATACAAGAATAATAAAAAAATCGAATCTAATATAAAGTAAATTGATTAGTCATCATGTTTAACATGGTGTTAGATATTAAAAAGTGTGCTTCACATTGTCAAGATTAAATGATATTCACCTCGTCATGAAAGAGCTCATGACAAGAGCATTGGAGAACAAATTAGTAACACACTTTCAAAGTTGATGATATAGATAAATTTTATAGTGTCAAAAGTTACATTGGAGATGCTCTAACTGCCAAAATATGGGAAACATTTCTCAATCATTCAATATTAATTCTAATATTCTATTCTTAAAATAAATATATTTTTTTAGTAAAATATTTAATTTTAATTGCTGAAAATAAAAATAACATTATTAAATAAAAAAAAGTTAAATTAAGATTACAAATGAAAAATAGTAGACCATAAAAACCAAAAAAAAAAAAAGTTTGTAGCAAAATGAGTCAAAATATGTTCAACTATGTCTAATATAGATAACAAAAATTTTGGTGCAAAAGTTGTAAAACAGTTGTGTATTTATAAGTATAAAAAGAATAGGATGATAAGAAACGTAAATTATTGATAGATAATAATATGTATAAAATAAAAAATAATAATATGTATAATTATAATTAGAAATTAGATTACATACTGATCCTAACTCAAAAATAATAAAATATATTTCTCAAGTATATTATAAGGTATGAGATAGAAAAATAATTATAATAATCAGTCGAGTCTTCCAGGTGACCTGTGTCAATTCAAATACCAAAAAAAAAAATATTTAATTTTATTTTTTAAGAGTTATTCAAAAATTTTAAATAAAATATAATTTTAAACATAATTTTATAATTAACACACATAATACTACTAGTTTGGGGTTAATTGGGAGAATAATCAGATTACTACCACCAAAACTCTTTAACAATAACACCCGGATTAACAATAAAACAATAATTTCTTTTGGATTAATAATATGATTGAAAATATATAACCCCAACATCTTTAGGACTAAATCTGGAGAGCAAAATTTGTAAGATAATATCTCATGGTATGCTTTTCATTAACTGCATATAATTAGCATGTTTCGTACCCCAACGTACTACTAAAACAGATTTCTCCTGCATACGACGCAATTACAACTCAATTTATTTTTATCTTCAACCCAACTCAATCTTAATATTTATTTTATTTTATTTTATCTAATAAGTGCAATTGTATTTCACAACATATCAAGTCTGGTCTCTTATGATAGAGAATGAAAAAATATAAATTTTAGTGTTTTTTTATTTTTTTAAAACAAAAAAAAAATACTTGTCCAATAAAAATATAACAAGTGTCCTATTATCACATAAAAATACCAGTTGCGACGCAAGGTCACATTGTGACCTAGGTCGCGCAACCCACTGCCTTTTTTTTTTTTCTTGTCACATTGTGACCTAGGTCGCACAACCCACCGCCTTTTTTTTCTTGACGTATAGCGGGTGACCTAATATTTGGGTCACAGATAAAGTCAGTCTTCAAGCATGAATCATAGTCGGTGCTTCTAGTCCATTCAAATGTGTACTAATCAAAACTGAATAGGATAACGTTGTTGAAATGATTACAAGATGAACAACAACGAGTACAAGATGCAAAAACATTACTCACCCTAAGAGCAGAAACACGTCATTCTTATTATTCATTATTAGTTTTAGATAATGTGTTTGTGATAATCTCATTATGGTACAAGTACTGTCCATTTGAATGAAACATAAATTAGAACACAAACTTGCAACAAGAAACCTTTTCCCATATCAGACACCAGTGATTCTAAAACAAAACTTGTGTCTTTTTTTAATTGAACTACACAAGTGCATTTATTAATCATATAAACTACCTTGGATTCACCTAAAGTCATATTACATAAATAAAGCACGACTAAAGGAGGGCAGGCAGATCAAATCCTCTAATTATCCCCCCAACAATTCGATACACAGTCAATAATGTGAGGACTTACCCATGAGTAATGTTATAAAATTCCAATTGTAGAACGACTCTTCCTTAAAAGGTTAACACTTAGTTTTAGAGATTGCATACAAGACAAAGAAATGGTGAGAAATTCAAATTGCAAATAATATGATTCTAGACATATAATCCTTCTGAAGCATTTTGATCAAGCATTTTGATCAGTATAGTCAACATGACACAAACATAATCCTTCATAAACCACAATAACCGAAATACTCCAACAGATCATATGAGGATACCCACGAAAAACAGAGAACATAATCACTTTATAATGATCTAAATCATACTTCAAATAAAGCTACATTTAGAAACTAAACCATACTTCAAAACTTTCACAACACCTCTTAATCGAACAAGCTGAAACCCATGTCATCATCGCTTTCCTCCTTAGGTTCCTCCTGAAAATATCACAAAAAAATAGGAGAAACTTGAGAAAAAAAAATGGATTAGAACCTTGAATGTCCATGTTACAATCCTTTAGGTTCCCAAGATTTTTGTGCACTAATCAATGGACAAATAATCATTTTGAATGCTCAAAAGATACATGATCTAGGTCTAAATCCATAGTTATCTATGAGCAAAGTGCACGAAAAATTTCGGCTTTGTTTCCTTATTTTTATTGCTTCTGCTATTCTATATGTTATATCATATATGGAATTAACATCCAGAACAAGCACTAATTGATCAAATAACACACTGAGCAACATTACTATAAAGACATTACTCAACAATTTCTCACTAAATTGAAGCTCTAACATCGAATAATAATATAACCGAATGACGAAAAACCAGTGTAAGTAACAACATTTGACCTTCTCCACTAAAATATAACTTATCTTGAATTCAAGATAACTTATCAATAAGCAATCGTCTAGATTTAAGAACAAAAGTTGGGGTGTAATTTTTTTTAGGATCAAATTATCAAATTGAATAAACAAAAAAAAATTACCTTCTTCTCCTCTTCAACAGGAGCAGCAAGGGCAGCGGCACCACCGGCAGGAGCAGCAACCGCGACGGCGGAGCCACCGCCACCAGCGCCGACGTTGACGATGAGATCCTCGATGTTCTTCTTCTCGCAAAGCTTAGCAAAAAGGCTCGGCCAGTACGACTCGACGGTCAGGTTCGCGGCCTTCACCAGCGTGGCGATTTTCTCTGCCTGTGGAACGGAAAAAATCGAATCCCATAACGAAATCACCCAATAAGACATGTAAATTAAATGGCGAAAATATTAAAAAAGAAAAATTACAGTAACGGCGATGCCATCATCGTGGAGGATCAAGGCGGCGTAGGTGCAAGCGAGCTCTCCGACTGACATTTTCTATCCTCTTTCTTTTTGGGCTTTGGAAACGAGCAAGGAAGGAAGAGAGCTGCGGCTTAATCAAGTGAGGTCTAGGGTTTCTTTTCTGCTTGAATAATTAGGTATTATCGGTGCACGCCCTCTAAAAGTTCT